CTAATAGTTGTTCCTATAGTTATGTCCAATGGCATAACCCCTTTCGTTGAAGTTGCCCCTCCATTGAAACTTGTCAGGATGACTTCCGTTGGGATCATATCACCTTCTGTCTTTGCGAACTTCCTCATCATCCTAGATGGAATGGTGTTTATAGCTGCTCCATTATCGACAAGCACTTTCACCACATGTATGCTGTTAACTAGAGTTTTAACGTACAACGACCTCAAGTGTTTGGTCAATTTCATGGATGGTCGCTTAAAAATAACTTTTTCGGCAGCATCTATTTTCACTTCTTGCTTGTCCTCTGTCGAGTTACCCTTTTGTGATAAGTCAACGTCCAGCATATCGCACTGAGTCTCTATCTTCTCAATTTCCTTTTTACTGTTTTCTAATGCTTCTTCTTCAGTTGCCCAATATGTGGGAGGAGGTATTATTCTTGGAGGTGATCCATACTTTTCAGAGCGAGGCACTCTCTTCTTCCTTTTGGGTGTCCCGTACAGCACGTAAAAATTGAAAGAACGCCCAGATGGTTCTCCCAATAAATCTACTTCACGAACTCCCTCTCGATATAATTGTTTCAACAGAGTATTGTACGATACTCCTCTTCTCCTTCTTTCTGCTTCCAGATCGATTTCCTCTTCGATGTCTGTCATACCGTCATCTTCTTCACCAGTGTAGGCCTCTCTAGAAGTTTGGCAATCTTCATATTCCAGCATGCATGCTTCCTCTTCGTTATCCTCCTTTTCTTCTTCTCTCTTCTCTTTATTCTTAAACTCATTGGCTAGTAAATAGTTATTAGCCACAACAGGAGGTAACGTACCAAACTAAATAGTAAGGGGTTGATCTGGATCTTCTCCATCCCTTCTGTCTCGCTCAAACTTCGACCTCCCAGAAGAAGTCTCTGGCAATTCTTCCATAGGTTCGCCTGTACCAGTCTCATCACTGTCTTTGAGAACATTTTGATTGGCTGTTTTGAGTAGTCTAGGTGCCTTAGGACGTAGCATTCCCTGTTGTTTCCTCATCATTCACCCATAGTTCCGTTGAAAACGCCTTTGTTGGGTTCTAGTCATCTCATTGAAAGGTATCGCCCTTCCAGCCTCATACTGGAACGAATGCTATACATTTGGTTGGCGAGGTTGCGGTCTGAATGTTCTCCCCTTATTTACTGGCCTGAACTGCCTCTCAAAAGGCGGTCCCTCATAGAACGATGTACCCTTCCCTCTACCAGGCTGAGCGTTTAGGAAAAAACTAGGGCGATGGTGATGTTGTCATATTCCTGGTTTCTCTGCATTTGCACTTACTTCTTTTTTGCATCTTGCACATAGGACGTCTTCGTCCTTTTTGGGCTTCTTCCCTTTGATACGTTCAAAGATGCTGGGATGTGGTCTAACTTCTTCTTCTCCATCATCTATAACCAACTTGAATTTTGGCAATTTGCTTCTAAAACCAGACGTCACCATGTTCGCTCCAAGTGGCTGTGGAAAAGGATTTTCATCCACTACCATCTTCCTCTTATCCTCGAACGTAATTCGTCCTTTTCAATCGCATCCTGTAACACATGGCAAAAAACCAAACAGTTGTTAGTCAAATGTGATCATGCATTATGCCACTTACAATATTTTTTACCCTTAATTTGTTCAGTGCTTGGCAATTTATGCTTATCGCTCAGCTTTATCTGCTTATCCTTATATAATTTATCAAATATAAGGTCAGTTTTGGTTACATCGAACGAGAACGTTCTAGCCTTTATGTTCTCATCTTTTATAGGCTCATCCTTGCCTGACGGTCTAGGCTTAGCCATTATAGGACAAGTATATGTGTCTCCTTTAACTAATTCGGCCAAACACATTTCGGTTTGATCGTAATACTCGTCGTTAATGGTATGAACATCAAAATTTGGGTCTCTATAATAAGTCCATTTGCTAGAATTTCTCATTTGTTCTTCCTCTCTTATTAATCATTCATACCTAATCAAGTTCGCGCTCAATTGGAAAAGATCAGGAAATTCCTTGTCTTGGAACTTCTTTTTCAAATCAAAGTTTAGATAACCTTGAGCGATTTTGACAAACTCCTTTTCGGGCAAAGGTACAAAATATTTACTTCTTGTTGTTTTGAACCTTTGAAGGAAACCTTCTGCCCATTCGTTTGGCATTTGACGTAGATTTGCCAAATCGGTCAAAATAACTTCAGACTCGGTCTTATAAAACTGAGCGTGGAACACTTGCTCTAATTGTTGCCATGTTTGAACAGAGTTTGCTGGCAAATTGATGAACCAGGAGAATGCTACTCCTGTTAATGAACTAGGGAACAACCTCATTTTATGGTAATCAGTTACGTCACCACTTTGCAGTGTGAACCGCCCTATGTGTTCTAGAGTAGACACCTCTCCTAAATCAGTAAACAGTAAGAATTCTGACACTTTATACCCTCTAGGCCATGGATATGCTTGGTCTACCCAATCAGGATATGGCTTTGTGTAAGTCGGCTTAATGACAGGACGTACTCCAAAAGCCATCTGGTCCTGTACGATTTCCATAATCTGGTTCCTTAAAATGACGTTGGGGTCATATGGAATCCTTACAGGTTGGTTGACCGGTTGATTTGCTTGAGGCCTGATGTTTGGTCCTTGGTTGCCAACAAAGTTGCCATGATTTGGGTCATTATTACTATTAGCCTGAACATTTATTCCATCATTGACATGTGGGGTATACTGTCCATTATTTAGGACATTATCCCTTACATTTGGATTACCCCCCAAGTTAGATGTACAAATGCCACTATTCTGATTCGGTATTGCACCACTCCCTTGGTTTGAAGTAGAGGGATCAAAAGGTGGTTCTACCCCTTGATTTAAACTTAGGACTGGGGGATTATGTCCCACAATTGTCCTAGTTTGAAAGTGGTTTGTAAGAGGCACAACTGGCTGACAAATTTGGCCTACTAACTTATTCATTATTTCGTTCAAAGTATTCAGTTGTTTGGCCATGTTGTCATAATGTGCATTCCCATTCTGGGTAAATCTTTCCATATTATGAATATTTCATAGATTTACCTGTTCAACGACATCTTGTGTGAGTTCTCCGAGTAATGCACGCATGGTTCGAGGACTCAACTCTGTCATTGATTTGTAATGACTGTGATTGCTCTGATCTTGTCCATCTGTTCGTGGAGAGCTATGCTGCTCTTCATATCGCTCGATTACAGATTGGACTCCTCCCTGGCTTGCTGTTTCCTTATCGAATTTCTGAGGTATATTGTTTTACCTTTTGTATCTTCAACACCGAACACCAATTGTCCCACTGGGCGTGCCAAATTGTTTCGCGCGGGTAGTCGCTAACAATTAAAAAGGGATCAGACGATTGTGTAAGGGACAAACCTCTTGAAACAAAGTCCCAAAAAGGGGTGTTTTATTGACAATGACTTTACAATTGGAATTTAAACAGAAATACCTCCAAGGGGCGCAAGCACACGAGTACTGAAAAGAAATGTTTTAAGTCTAAACTAAGGAATTGAAATTACATATTCTCTGTTTGAGAGTGTTTGATTCGGGGTCCTTTGCTCTATGTATTTTTTTCCTTTTATATTCCCTTAATACTCTCTTTGTGATCAACCGCTTAGAAACTGCTTAATTGCTTTATAACTGCCCACTTTCTTCATGGTGGCCAACTTATCGTGGAACTGCTGTCTCTAAATGCTGCCACTACTCTTTGTCTTTCAACCGTTTTCAACTGAACTCCTTGAATCGTGGAACGTGATGAGATTACCCAATAACTACTTCGATAACTGCACTTTTGGATAACCATAATATCTTATATTTGCTAAGATCTTGGGCGATTCGAAGGTTTGGGCGAGAATAGGGTCATAACTCTAGGCGACTGCAAGGTACTTCATTCGCTCAGGTCTTGGGCGTCTTGCAAGTTTGGGCGATGGTATTACCGCATTCGTGAGCTTCCACTGCATTCATTAATAACCCTATTTGGGCCTTTATCCTGAATTACCCAGTTGGGGTTCATTCTTTGGGCTATTCGAGTTGGGCTGCACTTTTAACGTGTCAACAATGGTCATTGAAAATTGAAATATTTTGAATGCATCTCTCTATTTTAAAATATTCATTTCAAGAGTCTTTTGAAGCGTAATTTTAAGGGTTCACTATGAAATCTTCTTGGAGATGCTCTTAACATTTGATTTTCATGTTATTCTACATAATACACAATTTCCATTGTCTGTTAGTGTGCCTATGTGGTGTTTTTGTTTTGTTTTGTGATTTTGCGTGCTCTCAACGGTGCCTTCATGTGACGATTTTTCCTTCATATGTTCATATTGGTTCCTTTGCGTGCCTACATTGCTGCATCTTTTTGCAAATTATTTGAACTTTGTTTTATATCTTTTGCAACTAAAAAGATCATATATTTTCATGAAATATGATATTATATTGTCTTTTTATCTTATATCATATATATTATCCTTTTTTTTTTTAATTGCATCTACATGATTGGGAAATGTTAATTGTGAACCAGCGCACAACATTAATTTTTTCCACAATTTTAATTACTGTCTCAAGGGTTTGAAAAGTCATTCTCTTAATAATAAATAAATAAATGAATAAGCTAGAATATAATTAGTGGTGGATTTTAAGAAGTTCTCCTCAAGCAAAGATATGAAAGATCATTTTCATTTTTATTTAATTTTAGTTACACCTAAAAAAATTGTTAAAAAACTTATTGCAACATAAAATTCGAATTCGAATTTGTGTCTCACAATTTAGAATGGTTTTAAATCTTACGATGACCCAATATAAAATGGAAATTTTCCATTCAATATCCTTTTTATGTACACGAAGTATACAAAAATTTGAGTACCGAATAACTTTTGAAGAGGCTATTAAAAAAAGGATAAAATGAATAAATTAGAACTACAAAAATAAGAATTTTTAAATTAAAAGGTAAAAGTCTATCTAAGTTAATTTTTTTTTTCAAAAACATAAAAATCAAGTAAATTAATTATCTATCATTCTGTATTTCCCTTTTCATCAACTCTTGCAAGAAATCATTCCAAGAATCAATTGGTCCAGGCAAACACCAATGTACACAATCACTAATCAATGTCACATTCGGCACAGGCCAATGTCCATATTTACTTGGGTGTCCATCTGGTCTCAATAACATAGGCTTTGTAGCATCAAACAACCTAATTTTCACCCCATTTCGTCTCGCTGCTTTCTGTGCAATCCTTAATTCCTCCAATTGAATCATATACATTTCCAGACTAAAATCCTCCAAAACCGTCTCATTCCTTTTAAATGGCCTAGTCCTAGCACAATCTCCACCTTTGTCCCACGGCCCGCCTTCAAAGTGTGACGGTGCAAACGTTCTGAGATATGTTACGCCCTTGGGATTATTCGCGTCATTTATTGCCCGAAATGCTGTTCGGAAAGCACGCCGGTAGCTGAAGTATGAAGTCAGGTGGCTGATATTGTCCTCGGGGCAGTAGAGGCAGCCTACTAGACGGTGGTTGAGGTAGAAGTAGGTAGGGCGGAAGAACCAGTGGCCAGCGGAGATTATTACGTAATCGAAATATTGGATTTGGGTAGCCCAATGTTCATCAAACTCGTCGAGAAATAGCTTAAAAGGGCGTGTGACATCATTAGGATTGGTTTTCTCAGTTTTTACCAAATAGGGAGACCAAAACATGGATATGTTGAAGTTGTGGTCAGAGTACTTGTAGCGCTTGTTTTGATCGGTCGGATCTGAAAGGTCTAGAGGATAAACAACCTGAAAAAAAGACACAAAATTTTAATCTATAAATAATATGACATTATAAAGAAATTGAGGAACAAGCTCGCTAGAGACAGAGAGAGAGAGAGATACAAACCCTAGAGAGGAGGCAAATCAAAGACTGCATATGATTTCTTGCCACTGAGTCTCCAACAAATGCTATTGATTTTCCTCTAACAAGTTCCAAAAATTGATCAGGATCAAATATAGGTAATTCACAAGCATCGGGTTTCCACCTCCACTCGAGAAATCCTTCATCAGGCCTACCAAATCTCATGCAATTTTGATGCTCTTGAATTGCATCGCATGTCATATTTGTGTAATATGGACCCTCTGGATTTGGCACCCATTCCCCAGAAAATAAATCACAATTTTCGTAATCTAACACTTCTGATCGTACCATGCTTCGATCATTATTATTATTACTACTACTCGCTCTCTTCAATTTTTCTTCCGAAACTTTTGGCGGTGTTAAGTATGTTGGGGAGGAGCGTCTAGATTTTTTCCTTCTATCCCTTTCTGTTCTTTTTCTAGCTACCTTCTCATGGTGGGCTGTCATTTCGCCCTTGAAGGAGCTTGGTGGCGGCAGTGGATTCGTTTCCTGATTTTCTTCCAGCAAATTCTTAGCCTCCGATTCTTCTTCATTCAATTTTGATGTTGCCTTCGTTATCTGATTTTCTTCTTTCAAGTTCTTAGCCTCCGGCTCATTTTCATTAAATTTTGGCGTTGTCTCCACATCCACATTATCCCTTTTGGTGATGGTTGGCTCCACCGCGGCTCCTCCTTCACTAGGATTGCACCGCTGCGTATAAACTTCAAGCGAACAATCTTGATTATATTCCTTCGGAGGAGGATCTAAATCAATATTTGGTGTAACAGAATCCTCTAAATATTCATATAAATGCCAAGCTTCGGATATTTTTCTATGTGATTCTTTAATAGAGGGGTAATACAAAGGGATTGTCAAAAGTACCGTTAGGGCTACAAGTGGAGCAAATTTTGGTGTTCTTCTTCTTGTTTGAGGTTTCCCTAAGGGAAGTTCAGAAGCTTGAAGCTTCATTGATGGATTCTAGAGAGAGAAAAATAGGAAAGAGAAAGGAAAAGGAAAAACATGAATAAGGAAAGAAAATTTTCACGAAAAATAGTTCCCATACGAATGTTGCGGTAAGGACGTAAAAAAATAATGGTTATCTATGGATGTAATATGTGTGGTAAGTGTAAGTCCACTGGAAGAGAAAGAATTTTGGAATATAGGGACATACCTATTCTTCAACC